TTTCCACAAACAAAAAATACTATAAGAATTATATTTTGTTTAGCAAAACAAGATTACTTATCATCTTGTAAGGAACTACTGCAAAGAAACAGGTATGTAAGTCACCACATCGCAGTACCATTATGAATCGCGTATAGCATAACGTACGGATCGGAAGCCGTGTTAAAAAGCATTCGTTTTCAAATGTCGCAACAGTTTAAATTATACTGATAGAACTATTGAATATATGAACTTCGTTTAATCAAACTGTGCTTTAACGTCCTCTATATCATTAAGTAAATGAACAAAAAAACTACTACTTTTTAGTGGTTTATTTGAAATGTGGTGCAAATATCTTACTCTAAAACGTCTGAATTTCTCTTTGTCTTTTCTACATAATTAGTTCCACCCGAGAAATCACAAGACAAAGAAAAATTCCGCTCCGCGCGGAAAATTCCGCCTAGTGGAAAACAGCCTTAAAGTTTACACAATGTTACAATATAATATAATATCTACACTTGCATTTCCTTAACAGTAAATTTATTTTTAATTCACTCCGGTATAGTAATGATTCTCCTTCTATTATTTGTTCAAAATCTGAAAGGTTACCGTTTGAACACCACAGTGATAAAATATATTCACGCGGTTTATTAAACGGATTCAATGGAAAATTCCGCCTAGTGGAAAACAGCCTTAAAGTTTACACAATGTTACAATGTGGTCTTGCTAATATTCGCATAACTTCGTACTATTTATAGGTCGCTAAGCAATGGTATTTACCAACTGCGAAATAATGATTCACTCGAACAATATCAAGTTTACTGTCACATGACTGAATTATCTGGATGTGGCCAAGGAGGTTGGACATTAGTGATGAAAGTAGATGGGAACAAGGTACGAATAATCTTAGCTTGACATAATCTCTTCGAATGTATAAACATCACAAACAATAATATGGAGAAATGAATAAACTCTTTGCTTTGCAGAATGAATTCAACTACAACTCGCCTTACTGGATAAACAAGGAAACCTACGCAGTTGAAGATGGACTTGAAGGTTTGAATGAAAAACAAACAAAACTTGCTTCTTACTGGAACACACCGTTTAACAAAATATGCCTGGGAATGAAAGTCAATGGTGTTACAAAACGGATAGCGTTAAACTACACCACAAACTCGCTACGCAGTGTGATCGAAGACGGGACTTTCAAAAAATCAAACGTTGGAAGGGAAGCATGGAAGTCTCTTATCGATGGTTCGTCTTTGGACGAAAACTGTAATGAAGAAGGATTCAATATACAAGGGGATTATAAGTATTCACTCCTTTCTGTCATATGGTCGGGGTCCATGAACATACGAATTGGTTTGGTAACAAATAATAAAACCAACTGCAATAGTTATGGCTCGTGCATCGGCTTTGGAATTTCAGTACGATGCGGAGATAACATGAGGAGCACAACGTGCGGCAATATGGCTGTTTGTCGTCTGCTGAATAATAAGAACACGGCAGCATTTGGATATATACTCGTACAGTAGTATTTGCAACGAATCTATAGGGACTAGCTGACGCGCAGATGCAAGAATGAAGTATATAGTAAACATTTGTTATGCATGATGATCGTACTTTGTATATAGCTGTATTAGTTAAAAAACAGACACCTAGAAAGAATGGAATATAAATAATGCATTATAGGCCATTATTGGCATCAAATTTTTAATTGATTGTATGATTATTCGATTGTGTAATGATGAACCATAGATATAGCTGGGAATGGCGATTATATAGTTTTTAACACAAAATATTAGAATTGATCCAAAGAAAGTTCATTTATTGTGTTGCTATTTATTAATATTGTTACTTTAATTGCAGTTATGTATATAGTCTTCTTTCATCAATTTGTGTTTGCATGTCTGTTTGTGAATATCACCATTTTATAAAAGACATTAAAATAAAGTTGATGGGAGGAAAAACTAAGTTTCATATTTATACTATAATATAAGATAATTTTTCATATCTCTATAATAAGGATGGTTTTCGGAAATAAACTTGATACATTTTATGATCTTCTTTCTCAATGTCGATTTTGTCATGTTCGATCTATATAGTATAGACACCAGTAGCTGGAGTGTCGGTTCAAATTTTATGGTTGTAGCAGCAACCACATTTTCAACAACTGACGACACTTGAAATTAAACTAAAATTGCGACAAAAAGACGAAAATTCTAGCGAGGAAAAATTTATGTGAGAGGAGAATATTATTCCTCAGCGGCATATATTCATGTCACACCCAATGAATTCGGTATTATGTAACTCGGGCCTAAGTTAACAGATGTTTTAGTCTTGGCGTTGGTCGTTTCGTGTGCGCTAATTGATCACGTTCGACACAAATATCCTTATTGGACCCAAACAGGTTTCCATTTACATGCTTACAATAACACATCTTCGCGGGCGTTTATGAATTATGTCTATAAATGCATGTATACGGTAGACAGACATTAAGTAGGCCCGCTTACTTGTCAATATAGCTAGCGCCGAAGAATTATAAACAACATTTACAAAACAATTATTCTTCACGACTAAAACTCTTTAACTTAATGTAAATGAGTTTCACATTAAAAGGACCTGCTATAAAAAGCTTAGCGTTACAGTGGAATTTCTTGTTGCCTATTGAGTGTTTTCTTCTCTATTAGTTACTGTATTCTTTTCGTAAACTAGAAAAACATTCTGTCTAAACCATTGACTCCATTTTAAGTGCATACTTATAGCCGATCGCGGAGCGTGCAACAAAGTTTCGGCACTTTATATAATTGTCACTCAGCGGGATACATTGCAATTACCTAAAATCCACGCAGCCACGTACAAATCAGCCAATCACGTTCAGTTTAAACTCTATAACTAACCAATCATATTGGATGAAAACACTTTAATTAACTGCTGGCTAGCCCGACATTAATGGCCTTCGATGTACTAAAGCGAATTGTAACAGCATGTTCAAAGGCAGTTGATTTGGCCAACAAGTATACAAATGACGATCTACTTCAGCATTTGCGCGTTAATTTTCGTCTGGGCAACAGGTGAATGCTCATCAAAGCAAACACTCTTTCGCAGAAAGGTACAAACTTACTTGGCGAATCATGTTATGGAAACAAAACAGACAGGGAGCGAGTTAGAATGTGGTATACTTTGCGTTGCATATGGGTCTTGCGCGTCAGTCAATTATAAAACTTCTGGAATTGGTAAAGGTCTATGTGAGCTCAACAATAAGACACTTCGAGAGACATCCGAAGACGATGAGGAAACGAACTCTGAATTCAACCACCTTTATGTCGTTAATAAAAAGGTTAGAAAATTTAAGCATTAATCTTTACTGTTGTATATGCGACCCAGAATTATGGTTGCAAGTGTACAGGTGTATTGAAAGTATATAGCCGACTTGTTACAATTTACAAGTTTTCTGGAGTATAGGGAAGAAAAAAGTCAGGAAACCCGCATTACATGCATGTCACAGGAGCAAATCTAGGGAAAATTGCGTATAAAGACAGATTAAGAGCCTTAAGAAGTGCTACCTGTAGCCTACAAAGTTTTGAACAAGTGAAGTTTTAGGTTTGTACATGTCGAAGCTATAGCTACACCATATCCAAACGTGTAGAATGTATATATTTTCTTTGGGCGTTTATGAATTATGTCTGAAGGCATGTATAGACAGACATGAAGTAGGCATGCTTACTTGTCAATATATTGGTATATGGTAGAAATAATTATATAAAAAAAATTCAGATTTGCAGGCAAATGTCAAATGCATCATGTCAGCCGTTTAAGCGGGATGAACTTCTCTTGTGTTTATAAGAGAAAATATCATCCGATTGCCGGGACAATTGTGTTATTTTGACATTGTTTGTTATTTTGACATGAGTTTTTATTAAATTGCTTGCGGCGGCATCCTTGAATAACGAGTTAATTATAATAGCTTGCGGCGGCATCCTTGAATAACGAGTCAATTATTCCATCCTTTCGTTTTATACTTATTTCGGTGGATAATGTTTTGAAAACACTAATTATAGGCGCACGTCTTGACAAAATCTAGTCTAGAATAATATATTCTTATTTTTTACATAATTTTTCTTATTTTAAGCAATTATTTCTTATTCCATCCTAAAATAATATTCTTATAATTAGAAAAAATCTTGAAATGAAGTTTAATATTATTAATCGCATAGTATCAAAACCTTTCTTTGGGAAATTTTAGCATGGCTAACACGAGATATGATATTGAATTGAACTATGATTGAATAAACATCGTTCTATTGTAGTATACATCTTTCTAGTTTTTTGTCAAATTTGAAGCTGAACGGCGCTTTCCTAATTTGTCGCAGTATTTTTGCCGGAAACAGTTACCGAAAGAAAGTGAATTCAACATGGCGGATATCACAATGAATACAGTATGGCTAAAAAGTAACAATTATAATATACGAATTCAAATCATTTGTAACAATCGCCTTTCTGCACTTTAATGGAGATGGTCTCATTAATCTCTAGGAAATATATTTTGTGAGTTTTAGTGTATTTTCTAATTTAAGAATTATTTTCTTGTCAATATTTCCCAGACCAGTAAATAATTAAAATTGTGGAATATTCGAAGTCTTGTGTATGACCAGTCTTGCCCCCCCCCCCCAATAAATTAAGGTACATTTGGTTAAAATGAGTTTGTTGTCAGTGATATTACCTGCCAAATCCATTATTTGCAATTGCATGGATTTGAATTAGCACCTCCTATATGGCTTTGGCCAAGGCTAGCTAGGGCCCCTTCCCTGTCAAACTCTATACCTGCAATACATTTCATATTATATAGAAATGGAATGTATACATATGTGTATTTAGGCTTTAAGTATTGCCAAGTAGTAGGTTAAGGGACTAATTCCCATGCAAGCGGGATGTATATATTCTGCATCATAACGGATACCTTGGGTCCTTCAGACGACTACTGATGTTTTCTTTTGCGTCAATTGACAACAAGTCATGTCAAAAACTAATTTTGCACTGGGAATTTTTTGGGGGTGCTGTAAATTCTAGGGGTATCCTGCCCTCCAGTAAAGCTAAACAAATTTGAGGGGAAAAATCCCAATCAATTCAAATATCACATATATATTCCATTAATACTACAAAATTTGAAAACTACAGCTAACATGCATGCATACTTATATACATAAGTCACAAATGCAAATAGTACTTCAGCGGTATATAAAATATTCTGTTCCTGAATGGAATAAACATTATAATCTAGCAAAGTATTTATATTAGAAAACTTGCTTATTCCGTTTGACAAGTCTTCGACCTGGTAGGCCATCAAGGCTTCATCAAATATGATTGTTTTGTATGGTATGTACTCAAAAAGACATAGTCATTTATTAACCAAATTGATTTCAGTTTACCAAAAACTGGCAATCATGGGGATAAAAGTGGCATTCACAACTACAACACACATTTTATGGGACACATACTTGGTTCCATAAACCTTGATCGACATTGCCATATACACTTTTGTCAGCATCTTGCATGGTATTGGCAAACAATTCTGCCACAATAATACTTTGTAATACATCTTTCTCTTCTTCCTCATTTGTTGGCCCCAATTCTTTTTCACCAGCAAATAGTGGATTGTTACTCGGATTTTCATTGCTGAAGTCAGCGCAGTCATCGTATATCACAGGCGGCCCAATCTTACCCTGTGTTATTAATTACGTTATATCTTTATATAAATAGTATATTGAAAATTATTAGAAAATTCTGTGTTATTAATTTATTACGTTATATCTTTATATAATAGTATAATGAAAAGCACTTACATGTGTTTCTTGAAAGATTTTAACGAGAACCGGCCAAGATTGGCGTTGACAAGTATTACGCTAAATTACGCGACTTCCCTGAAAAATACTCTTACTTCAAATGTCAGTTTTATGTCACAAAAACTGCTAAAAATAGCAAACGTAAACAAACTGGCAAAAGACATTTTAAATCGTATTTAATACCAAAACTGAACAATGAGCTAGATAACTTAGATATACTAACTAAATCACTATACAAACCATCACAACAGAAATATGTGCCGTGAATAACTTTTAAAGTTTGAAAAATAACAATTTATTCTGGCCGATTTAGCTTCCGTATAAAACACGCGCGCTAGACTATAACGATATGTTATGATTTTGTTTGTGCTTAAATTTTGCAATAATTCTCACTAAAATATCTTGAAAATCATTGTAAGCATGTTTATATAAAGCATACAAAGCATATACATCGACAAGGAACCGCAAAACTCAAAGTTTAAACTTCGTGACCGAATGACATAAAACTGACATGTCAACTCTAGCATTTTCGTCCTTGGTCGTGTAATTTGGAAAACGGGTGTAATGTGAACTTCCCAACTAAGGTGTTCATCCAACTCAACTCCTAAACATTTAAAAGATCTGTACCGTTTTAATGGTTTATTCTTAAAGGTCACTAATTTATCTCCAATTTTATTTTTGATATTGTACCGGGAGCCTATGAACATTAGCTTAGTTTTAGTAGTATGGTGTTGCAGTTTGTTATCCGAGAGCCACCTACTAATATTTTTCAAATCAGAGTTTAATAGTTCCACCAGTTCATCATAATTATCAGACGAGGCAAATATCTGCGTATCATCAGCATATAAACCCGGAGTTGTAAATTTTAAATATTGCGGCAAATCATTAATATATAATAAAAACATCAAAGGACCGAGAATGGACCCCTGCGGCACACCACTTTCTATGGATTTCCAAGAGGATATATGTAGTGCATATGTGCATATATATGTAGTGCATAAGTAGTGCATCTGTGGGGTAACATTTACCATTGGAAACAGCTCCTTGAATTGCTTTAAATGAGTCTTTATTGTGTCCTCCAGTTGTTGAACTGTTGTCTGCCTGACAACTGGTGAGAAGCATATCAGTACAATTGATTGCATTTGCAATATCAACTGAAAATGCGGATTTTCTTCACCAACATATCTTCGAATGCAAAAGGGCAAGTATTTTAGAAAAATACTTGCTTGCTCTGCAGTTTGCTTTAGTTTATACTTTTCCTGACCATTGAAGAAGAGCTAGATCTTGGCCTCATCTTGATACTGAATGCTAAGGGAACTGAAAGCACGGTTGAGCTGGTTTAGGGTAAAGAATCCATTGTCTATAAAGTACTGAATCACGTGACGAAGTTCGTACTGGACAGAACCTTCCAAAAGGACATGCATGATATCTTGTGGAAGCTGCTTGGTGATGTCAAAGTCTGGAAGTTTGCTCAGGAGACTTCGATTCACAATGTCGTATGTTGTTTCAAGATCTTTTTGAGCTTGAAGGGTAGGGGGAGCTACAATTCTCAACCACACCTTTTTGCTGGGTTATTGGCCCACATGGATGGGCCATCTAATAATTGGCATCGACAATTTCACACGTTAGTATTACAGTTATATTAACATAGATGGTTTTTGATGACGAACATACTTTTCTTTTTAACCCATTGAGTGGCAGCACTCTCCACTTGACGAGTAAAATCGTTTGGCGTTAGACGGAGTAAAATACTCTGGCGTTAGACAGAGTAAAATACTAAATCAGGGTGCATTGCCACTCAAAGGGTTAATAATAAATCCTGGCAGATCTGAGAACATTGCATTTGCCAGGAAAACAGGGGCAAAGAGTTTAAGAACTAAACAGATTTGTTTAGAAATGTTAACAACTCAAATTTGCAGTTGCACTCTGAATATGTTTAACCTCTCCATCATTAGTTTTTTGCTATTACATTTAAAACTGATTCATTAAATCTGGTATTCTCTGGTGTCAGACCACTGTGGTGGTTTTAGTATTTGCATTCCACTAATTCAAGTTAGCAAGTAATATCTGTACTGACTGTACAATGTCACACCGTATAAGAATAGAATGAAATCAGGTTGGCAAAGTGAGCTAGCTTTAGCTAAGTAACTAGGATTGCTCACTTCCATAGTTATAAAACCCTCTAACTAGTATATGAATTTGTGGTTGTTAAAGTATTTGTTCTGAACTGTAATAATTTCAGCAAGACATTGGGGATTTGGAATTACTGTCAGATACTTCAGATAACCAATTTACACAACGTTCTTCAACTCTGGATAAAACTTCTTCAACCCAGCTGCCATCATCACCTGATCCAATATTTGTTCCAAAAAGATCCCGACTCCCATCCTCTTTTAGCTTTTCTTCTATACCTTCAACCCCTACATCAAGTCAAAGTTCATCGCCCATACTGCTAACATCACCATGCACACCAGGAAATCAATGTCCAGCAGATGATGTTGATGTTGTAAAATCTCAACCGTCCCCAGCCTTTGTTGTGTACTGTGACAGTGAGATGAGTTATGCTGCCAAAACTGACAGCATGTCTGATGCACTGTTCAGCAGATCAATCAGTATCATGATTGAATATTTAACAGTTAACCTGCGAACTCGAGTCGCTAAGAGCAGTCATATGCGACGAGAGTGAGTAGAAATATAATGCTAACGGTAACTTATGAGCAACAGGAGATTGTTGCTATGCATGGATAATACAGTATGTGTATCAATACAACAGTGCCTGTTTCGTCAATAAACAAGTTTATTGAATTGAAAAACCTAATCTCTAATATATCTTCACTAGCTACTTGCATGAGCAGCGTGAATATAGCCAGCGAACTAGTATATCCTTCAAGCAGATTATCATTTTGCATATTGATTTCTAGAAACCTCAAGAACCAGTTCCAACCACGTCTCAGATAACACAAAAATCATCATCTGCAGGTAAGGCTTAAATTGTAAAAGCATATACTTGAAATACATTATATACACGAATACAAGGACTGACATCATGTCCAAGTAAAAAACTGGTTGTGCAGTAGGCGAAAGTTCGTGGTAATTGCAAACTATATATTCCACAATCTATATACGCTATTTTTCTATCAAAATTATTCGCTAACTCGCCCTATCATTAAAGCCAGTGAATATTCAAGATGATACTTGACAATAATTCTTCTGGTGACTGTGGGGTGACATGCACTCATGTCATAAATAATACTTGTATTTAAATTCCAAGTAATATGCTAATCTTTATAATAAACAGCAGGTTCATGCAACAACTCGATTATGAAGGGGTATTTTAAAAAATATTAATGTTTGTACTGTAGTTAACTTTCGCACTTTTTTATAGAAGAAGATTCCACAACTCAACCAACAAGTAAGTTCACAGTACGGATTACCAACTCAATCAATATATTTTTAAAAGTATTCAAAAAAGCTCATTAATAATCCATCAGGGAAATACAAAGGAAATTGCTGCACGCTGTGTCGGTGGTTTTATATACGATAAAAAATCATGTTAATCTACGTAAACTTTAGCTTTCATTTTCTCGGCTCAGACCACCGTATATTTTTAAAATTATACTTCCCCAATGAACTCGTGAGATGGGTTGTTTTTTAAGCCATTTAAAACACTCCCATCATTTCCGTGCTTTATCAGATATAAAACACTCGAGCTGCGCTCCAGTATTTTATATTATATAAAGCACTAGCTCCTGCTCATCCGTTTCAAAATAGTACTCAATGTTTGTAGTAACTTTCATAATGAACTTCTTCTTTATAGCAGAAGGTTCCACAACTCAACCAACAAGTAAGTTCATGATGGATCAAATTAGCTAGTGTAAAGTATTTCAATGATAAAAATAATGCGAATTGCCAACCCCGTACGATTTTTACACGACACACTGTCTCTTACATAGACTCGTAAACAAAGAAATTAATTACATTAATTAAAATAAAAAAAATGATTTGAATATTTGTGCGGTTTGAAAATGCACGTCTCGAATTGCTAATAATATAATATTTTCGATGAAGTGATTGCGCAGCAGGAGAAACGTCATGGTAATTCCGAAATTCTATTCTATAATCTACGCTATTTTTTATCAGAAATATTTGCTTACTCGCCCTATATTAATTGAAACCAGTGAAAAATTAAGATAACTCTTGACAATAATTTTTTGACGTGAACTCACATGCCATTTAAATAATATTTGTATATTTAATTTCCGCACTTTAATTGTAGCAAAATCTATTTACAACATTTCGCAACGAAACTTCAGAATATTACAAATTTTGTGATGCTCTTTCAAGCTGTGATGAAATTTTATCTAGACTTGTCTAGATCAAAATTTTGTTTATTAGGCAATAGGTCCATTAACAACTCAATCTATAGCGTATTTTAGAAAATATTAACGTTTCATGTGAACTTCTTCTTTATATAGCAGAAGGTTCCACAACTGAACCAACAAGTAAGTTCACAAAACAAGGAGGAATTTCGTTCTTGACCAATCAATGCATTTGTTGACATTTTCGCTCTAAGCCAATCAGAATGCGTAATTGCTTACTACTTCCGGTAAAAACACACATTTGAACAGAAAATATAGGGTGTTAAATACAGCTTCGAGGGGGTCAGGATTTTTAATTTTTTTTATTGGATTTAACGTGACAAGGTAAAATAAGAAATTTTCTAAAAATTTGCGGCTGCGATTTGCGTTTTATTGCCTAGTTTTAAAGTTATCGACATTCCAACAATGTATAAAAAGTGCGTAAGTTCGAATGCCGATAATTTTAGAACCGTAGGCAATAAAACGCAAATCGCAGCGGCAAATTTTTAGGAAATTTCTTATTTACCTTGTCACGTCAAATCCAATAAAAATTTAAAATCTTGACCCCCTCGAAGCTTTATTTAAGACCCTAAATATTCTGTTCAAATGTATGTTTTTTACCGGAAGTGGGCTTTCTGTGCTCGCAGAGAAACTACCGACAATAACGAATTACGCATTCTTATTGGCTTAGAGCGAAATTGCCAACAAATGCGCTGATTGGTCGAGAACGAAATCCCCTCTTGTTAGTTCACAATGGATCACGCGTTAGCCAGTAGGCCTATAAAACATTTCAGCGATAAATTAATGGGAATTGTCAACGTCCGTACGATTTTTACATGACTCACTGTCTCTCATAGAGTCGTGAACGAAGAAATTAATTAAATTAGCTATTTAAATTAATTAAATTAGACATTTCTGAGTTTTAAAAATGCATGTTTCGAATTGGTAATAATAATATTTTCAATGAATGCGAACTTCTATTCCATAATCTACGCTATAGGCAATTCCAGCTTTTAGTTTATGCGTGCAGGGGACGATGGGAAGTAAGGTATCACATTGCTGATTATGCTGAAAAAATAAAAATGGTGGCCGTGTAAACACGGAGTGATAACTTATACTTGTAAATATTTCGGTTGTTTCGGTAGTTTTTATTGACATTTTTCAGCATAATCAGCAATATGATACCTTACTTCCCATCATCCCCTGCAGGCATAAACTAAAAGCTGGAATTGCCTATTCTTGTCAAAATTATTCGCTCATTCGCCGTATATATAATTGAAGTCAGTGAAAATGTAAGATGATACATAACAATAATTCTTTTTATGCATAACGTGAACGCACAAACCATAATATTTGTATCTATATAATTTCCACATAATATGCTATATAACATTTATAGCAAAATCTATTCCGAGATAAACAGAAGGTTTATAACAACTCGATCAATATAGCGTATTTTAAAAACAATATCAACGTTTGAAATCAACTTTCATAATGTGAACTTCTTCTTTATAGCAGAAGGTTCCACAACTCAACCAACAAGTAAGTTCACAATGGATCATGCGTTAGCTAGTGTATAAAATATTACAGTGATAAAAATAATGCGAATTGTCAACCTCCATACGATTTTTACACGACTCACTGTCTCTTATAGAGTCGTACAAAACAAATAAATTAAATAAATTAAATAAATTAAAATAATAAAATGACTTGACATTTGTGCGGTTTGACTTGTAATAATACTTCAGGGTGATTCCGAACTTCTATTCCATATTCTTATACGCTATTTTTTATCAAAATTATTTGCTTAACTATATTAATTGAATGCCATATAAATAATATTTGTATAACTAATTAACTTCCACGTATATGCTAAACTTAATTTATAACTAGAAATACATGCATGCAGTAACCCCTCGCCAATATTTTCCAAACATTAAATTAACATGAAGTATTCAGAAATGACCAACACTGAACGCAGGCTCGCGCTCAAGTGTTGCCATGACAACACGATATTCTTAAATTTTTAATTTTTTCATATTTTTTGTACCACTGCAAAATAGTTGAAAGATTCGTACTTTTAACTATACAACAATAAATTTCCGAAATATATACTGTAGGTATATTATTTTGCATTTTGTGAGCTTTGATTTAATGTAAAATTTAACTTGAAACGCTTTGTAAAATGTTTTGAAATGTTCATTCAACTAAACTACATTTTGCCGATAAACTGTTTTTACTTAATAAAACATAATAAGTTTAAAACAAATAAAACAAATTGTTAGGTAATTTCAGTTCAGTCTTCAAATCAATTTGTTCGCCTTTACATTTTAAGATTTTATCTCAAATTAAACGGAAATTTATGATACTTAGAGCTTCGTTGAAAAGGAAAACAATTCATGTTTTTAGGCAAAAAGTTCAGGCAACAAAATTCGTAAACATTAAATATGCAAAGCAAACTTGCCGTATATTTCACGATTTCCCATAGTAAATCAATTCTTCTCATTTCTTCAAACAAATTGCTTCAAGCTTGTTGTATATCAAACGATTTTCCAAATATATGTCTTTTAAAATTGAAATCTTGTTTATCCCACTCCTACAAGCAATCAGCCATATTTTTGAGATCAGTGAGGATGATCACCCACTCAAGATCGTTGGTCACGCCCGCGATCATTGATGAACTTTAATTTAGACTTCGCTAATGCTTTCGTTTCCCCGGGTGTAAATAGCCGGGGGGAATTAGTACCCTCGCCCGGAACGGCGCTCCGCGCCGTTGGCCCGGGGACAAAATATATATTCCGAGAAAAACAGAAGGTTTATAACACATACCTGTATAGGGTATTTAAAAAATATATTAACGTTTGCAATCAACTCTCATACTGTCATACTCAACTTCTTCTTTATAGCAGAAGGTTCCACAACTCAACCAACAAGTAAGTTCACAATGGATCACGTTAGCTAGTGTATAAAGTGTTTCAGTGATAAAAATAATGTCAACCTGCGTATGATTTTTACATGACTCACTGTCTCTTATAGAGTCGTAAACGATGAAATCTATTAAATTCATTAAAATAAAGACTAGACATTTGTGATGTTTGAAATTGCACGTCTAGTCACATTATTACATATAGAGGATATTACACGGCGGCGCAAAGATATGACTTTTATCTTCGAGTGGTGAAAACAATATTATACGAACGAGCCCAGCGAGTGAGTAAAATATTGTTTTAACACGAGAAGTTAAAAGTCATATCTCCAAGCCACCGTGTAATGTTCTGTTTATTATATATAGTCCCAAGCAAAAAATTGTGAAATTTCACGGTCAAAAGCAAATTGGAAAAAGTCACGTGATCGATATCTTCAAGTAGTGAAGATATGGAAAATATCTCACTGCATGTGTATATTTTTTCGTATCTCACTCTCTACTGTATAATAAATAGGTTTGCATAGTTTAGAGAATTGCATTTTACTCTGTTTAGAAAATCAAGAACTGTCATCATCTTGTAAAGAATTGCTGCAAAGAGAGGGGTAATGTAACTCACCAGATTACAGTATACCATTATTGCATGTGGCATAATGAGAGCCTTAATGAAAAGTATTCGGTAAATGTCGTGTTAGGCATCGTAGTTGTCTCTATATGCCAAATAAAGGGACTTTAATTTCAAACTATGCATGCAATATTATAATGAAGTTAATTTAATTTAATCAAACTGTGTTTTAATGTCCTCTACACCATTAAGCAAATAAACAAAAGAATCAGTAATTTTTAGTGGCATATTCGAAACGTGGCTTATTCGAAACGATGTTTCTCAACGACCAGATTATAATAGTTTTTAGTATAATTACATAGGTGATTATTGAAAATTCTCCACGCTGATTGGTTGCCATAATCACCTAAGCGATTTTCAAAATGGCGGTCGAAGCCGTTTTGTCAATTAAATGACGAAGAAATGTGCATTTTAAAATTTGTTTCCAAATAATCACCTATGAAATTATACTAAAACAATTATTCACCTCAGGCTCGGTGATTATCGTGAATAAAAACCTCGACTTCGTCTCGGTTTTTATTCACCGATAATCACCTCGCCTTCGGCGAATAATTGTTAAATACTTGTAAACCACATATAAATTATGAGTATTCTCAGCTAGTTATAATCACTCCGCGTATTTTCAGTTCTAAAATGTTGAATTTCGGCTGATGAGAAAGATCGTGGCTCAATCTTTACGACCGTTACGACCATATGGAAACCAGGCTTAAAGTTTACACAATGTTACAATGTGTGGTCTTGTTAATATTCACAAAATTACTTCGCACTATTTATAGGTCACTCAGCAATGGTGCTTACGACTTACGAAATACTGATTCACTCGAACAATACCAAGCTTACTGTCACATGACTGAATTATCTGGATGTGGCCAAGGAGGTTGGACACTACTGATGAAAGTAAATGGGAGCAAGGTACGAATAATCTTAGCTTAACATAATCTTTTCGAATGCACATAAACATGCATGACAAGCAATAACATATAGAGAAATGAGTAAACGTGTTGCTTTGCAGAATGAATTCAACTACAGCTCTCCTTACTGGACAAACAACGAAACCTACGCAGTTGAAGATGGACTTGAAGGCTTGAATGAAAAACAATCAAAACTTGCTTCCTACTGGAACACACCGTTTAACAAAATATGCCTCGGAATGAAAGTCAATGGTGTTACAAAATGGATGGCGTTAAACTACACCGCCAACTCGTTACACAGTGTGATGAAAGAGGGGACTTTCAAAAAAACAAAGATTGGAAAGGTAGCATGGACATCGCTTATCGATGGTTCGTCTTTGCAAGAAAACTGTAATGAAGAAGGATTTAATATTCAATGGAATCACAAGTATGGAACGTCGCAAATGAAGATACGAATTGGTTTGATAGCAAATAATGACAACAACTGCAATGATTGTGACTCGTGTATTGGCTTTGGAACTTCAATACGTGGATGCTGGGATGACGTAAGGACCACAACGTGTGGTAATATGGCCTTTTGTGGTTATTTTAATCAAAGAAACACGGAAGCATTAGGGTATATACTTGTACACTAGTATATTAGCAACGTTTCCATAGCTATAGCTAACACAGATGCAAAAACTATAGTATATACCTATTGCATAGTGAGTAGAAAACATTTGTTTTGATTGCGCTTAGTATATATAGCTGTATTGGTAAAGAAACATCCAGACACCTATGGAAACAGATGGTATAAATCATGCACTATTGCCTTCCACTTCTGCATGGATGTGTTTATTCTGTATAAAGTAACGTTGCAGAAAGTTGTTGCATGTATTATAATTGGAAATCGTCAACATTAACACCATGGACTTAAATGCACATGTGACAATAAGGTCCGCGCAATTTGATCAAGTCCAAGAACTGGAATACTGGATCAAAATGCGAGGACTTCAAATCTAGTTCATGCAAGTCCGAATAGTCTGTGTGTTGTGACCTCGAAAAGTGCCTAGAAAACGATTTTCATTTAGTATGTCTTACATAGATCTGAAATATTTTTACGGGAACTAACACTTTCGAACACGCTGAGTTCAAATCCGAAAAGTTCCCGCTCCATAGACCCGCAGTTTTCTCACAAACTGCTATTTTATCTTCACTAATTTCACAACAAAATTTTTCATTGTTCAACCGACACGGATCGATGACGATACACGATTATGTCACTCAAAAGGACCAATTTATATTAACCATGCAGTCTTCCTTTTAATAAAAGACCGGGTTGGCTCGAATCATTTTGAGTTATGCAATCTTATGCGTGTTGGACGTAAACAACATGTCTTGTCTAAAACTTTGAGAAGGTACATATAATTCTTTATAAAATCCTTAGTTCTGGCTCTATCTCTATTAAATCACAAGGACGTTAATGTCACGTTTTTGGGCAAAGAGATAATTCCTTACATGCGATTAAAATGTTTTATACAAAGATGTGAAACGGTAACCTTATGTAATGGATCAGCATTTAAATTTCCAACACAGTTTCCGAAACGTAATTCAAGAGATAACTTATCGTTGCATTTGAACTATTATATCAGTTGGTGTTATGCTGTGCGATAAGCGAATATTATTGGAAAGAGGGCTTCGATTTGAAATCACCAAATACACAGTTCATGCACACATTTCTCCTCTTCGTCACGTATGTTTACAGAGCATATTTTATACTTTGGGTCTTTGGTGTGAACATTTATTCTTACAGTTTAAGGTTATTTAAGATTGATCCTGTAGTAAGTGTTCTACCAGCAACCAATCAACAAGATTTCATTTTAGCGTTGCCTTCGCGTTACTTTTGTTTTAAATACCTTGGTCGCGTTAAAAGAGTTATTTTTCAGGCCAGTGACATAGCCAAAAGACTTCGCATTAATGTCCTTGTGATTTTATAGAGATATCTCTAGAACTGAGGATTTTAGAAAGCGTTATCTGTACTTTCTCAGAGTTGTAGACAAGATATGTTGTTTACATCCAACACGCATAAGATTACATTACTCAAAATGATTCGAGCAAAACCGGTCCTTTGTTAAAAGGAAGACTGGTATTAATTAATAGAAATTGGTCCTTTTGAGTGACATAATCGTGTATCGTCATCGATCCGTGTCGTTGAACAATGAAAAATTTGTCGTGAAATTATTGAAGATAAAATAGCATTTTGTGAGATGAGGACTGACCATTGAATCGCAATCGGTCTGACGAACCCTCCTTAAAATGTAGTTTCTAGACTTTCTGTAATGACTATTGTATGTCCAAGTATTGTTGTATAACTACTTTGTAAATTTATTCTATACTATCGCCTGTATAACTACTTTGTACTACTGCCTGTATAACTACTTTGTAAATTTATTCTGTACTATCGCCTGTATAACTACTTTGTACTACTGCCTGTATAACTACTTTGTAAATTATCTGTACTATCGCCTGTATAAGTAGTATAACTACTTTGTACTACTGCCTGTATAACTACTTTGTAAATTTATTCTGTACTATTGGGGCCACAGTTATTGGCAATAGCTTTTGTGGTTTCCCAGCCAGTCACTGCATGTATATATGATGGCGAAATTAATAAATAAATAAATAAATTTCAGACGAGATTGCATATTTTCCCACCTAAATTTAGCGTGCGCATAATTAATCACGCTTAGTGGAAGAATCCTAAAGACGCCGCTTTATTGCAAATTCACTGTTTATTGAAGTCGATAATAGTGACCAATGAAGCCGCTGCCTTTTATATATAGCGACAACTTTTGGCCATAACATAAGAGAACTATATATTTAATAAAAACGGAATCCCCCCAATTATATTGCATAAAAAAATGGCCGCACGCACGTATGCATGCAGACCGACTGATTGACCCTATATATAGCCGTTAATAAACTATAGCATTTCGCACTCAAAACCTGCATATTCGCGGCCTGCGTGTACAGGTCTTACAATGAGGGTCTTTTTAAGCTTTTATGTTTTAATTTTCGTCTCGCAAATAACACAACCAGGCGGATGCTTGATTAAACAAGCCGTCTTTCACAGAAAAAAACAAACTTACTTAGCGAATCATGTCATCGAAACAAAACAGACAGAGAGCGAGCTACAATGTGGTATGCATTGCGTTGCAGATGGATCTTGTGCGTCAGTCAATTATAAAACTTATGGAATCGGTAAAGGTCGGTGTGAGCTCAACAATAAGACATTTCAAGAGACATCTGATGCTGATGAGAAAACGAACCCTGAATTCAACCACCTTCATGTCATTATTAAAAAGGTTAGAAAAGTTAGTCATAAGAACATTATTCTAATAATTACTGTTCATGCACACTTTTCTTTCGGCATTTATTAATATATAATATCTGAAAATATATGTTGTTATCGTTTTACCCTTGTCAAAAATTATTCACAGAAATTTAAATCCTGCGTTTTTAAAATTTTCCAAATAGTGTTTAGCATAAATAAATTAATTCTCACTTAGTTTATTGTTCTCTTGAAGAAGGCTCTTGCTCTTCGCCATACAATAAATAACTTACTGACCGAGCTTGCCGGTTCGGATAGTAGGATATAATCTCGTTCTTTTTTCGTTTGCACAAAGAAGAACTCGATTAATATGCCACATGCAGTCAGCACCTCTCGCTCAGTCAACAACATAATATACCTTCAAAATCTTCCAAAGGAGATGCATCACAATTTTTCATTCAAATATTCATATTTTCACCCGAAATATTTATATTCTTACCACAAATATTCGCATTCAAACTAGTTTAAACTCAGTATTCAATATTCGGCTTCCATGCATGAATAACCCGGTCGCGATTTGCAGATGAGGCGATCATTGTATAGGTGACACTCACTATGTGATACAATGCGTGCATATAATAATAGCAGTGAATAGGAAACTTGTGATAGCTATAGCTATGCAGTTTTCAGCCGGCTGATGGCGTCTCCATGCATGCATCTTATATCGGAAGTTATGACATCACCGCATCCAAAATAACTGCACCGTTTATAGCGATAATGCAACGGGGGCCGGTTGAACGAAGGCCGCGGAAAGCCATTATATCCAACGATAGTTATTTTTTCAACTGTTGTATAAATTGCTTTAAAAGCTATGAAACCACGGGTATGGATCTCAAAATTGATAAAACGAAACACTAAAGTTTAATCTGGCTTATATCAATTTTAGAAAGCTTGAAAAAACACTATCCGGTGGGCAGCGCTACCCAGCCTTCGTCTGAACATTTAAGTCAAATAACTATTAGTAATAAATAACCACGTCCCTGAATATTGTCAGGCAATTTTAGACGTTGAAATATGCGTCACAAATTTCAATTAAATGAACGACAGTTTCTGTGATGCTAATTTTTCAGCTAAGAAGAGTTAAAAAAAAACAGAAACAGAGACGAAAACATTTACCTCAATTATTTTACAGTTGAGGCGGTTTTCTTTGGTGTACCGCGGGCTGTATATATAGCACTAAATTATGAAAATAGAACTAATCCTTTCCATGGTTGTGTTGATATCGATTTTTTCATCGATTAAGCTGTATATATATTGCCGTTAAAATCTCAACAATATACTGTTTTTCACCTCTGGATAAACACCATCCCTACGTTGTCATATTTTCACATTTTCCACACACCAGTGTCCCTGGGTTGTTAGTCTTTATTTAGTGAAAAGTGACCCTAATAAATAACAGTCTTCTGAATAAACTACGTCAAATCGTCTCTCAGGAAGCCAAAGTTATATGTTGCCCGGCCCCCGAAGCCTCTGGAAGCTCTGAAACTTACTATCCATGCACTATCCTTGCATGTGATTTAGTTATCTTTCGTTGTTCGGACAAAATTTTAGCCTAAAATACACACAAAAATCATTATAAATTGAAATAAACAACGAGAAAGGAGCTGTCAAAGCCTGCAAACTATATCGCGTCCTGAATTTGGCCTTTCAGTAAGTAGGGAAGCTTTCAACCTATACCTTGTTTTCCAGCGTTTATTTCCGTTTCCTATAGGAAACCGTACCCTGAATAAGGGTTATAGCAGTTCTCTTCAAAATTCCGTATGCACTTGAAATTTATTTTCATGCCAATTTCGTTTTGAAATCTACAGTTAGACATCGTATACATATATATAAAACAGAAATTTAAATCCTGCGTTTTTAAAATTTTCCAAATAGTGTTTAGCCTAAATAAATTAATTCCCACTTAGTTTATTGTTCTCTTGAAGAAGGCTCTTGCTCTTCGCCATACAATAAATAACTTACTGACCGAGCTTGCCGGTTCGGATAGTAGGATATAATCTCGTTCTTTTTCCGTTGGCACAAAGAAGAACTCGATTAATATGCCACATGCAGTCAGCACCTCTCGCTCAGTCAACAACATAATATACCTTCAAAATCTTCCAAAGGAGATACATCACAATTTTTCATTTAAATATTCATATTTTCACCCGAAATATTTATATTCTTACCACAAATATTCGCATTCAAACTAGTTTAAACTCAGTATTCAATATTCGGCTTCCATGCATGAATAACCCGGTCGCGATTTGCAGATGAGGCGATCATTGTATAGGTGACACTCACTATGTGGTACAATGCGTGCATATAATAATAGCAGTGAATAGGAAACTTGTGATAGCTAGCTATGCAGTTTTCAGCCCGCTGATGGCGTCTCCATGCATGCATCTAATATCGGAAGTCATGACATCACCGCATCCAAAATAACTGCACCGTTTATAGCGATAATGCAACGGGGGCCGGTTGAACGAAGGCCGCGGAAAGCCATTATATCCAACGATAGTTATTTTTTCAACTGTTGTATAAATTGCTTTAAAAGCTATGAAACCACGGGTATGGATCTCAAAATTGATAAAACGAAACACTAAAGTTTAATCTGGCTTATATCAATTTTAGAAAGCTTGAAAAAACACTATCCGGTGGGCAGCGCTACCCAGCCTTCGTCTGAACATTTAAGTCAAATAACTATTAGTAATAAATAACCACGTCCCTGAATATTGTCAGGCAATTTTAGACGTTGAAATATGCGTCACAAATTTCAATTAAATGAACGACAGTTTCTGTGATGCTAATTTTTCAGCTAAGAAGAGTTAAAAAAAAAACAGAAACAGAGACGAAAACATTTACCTCAATTATTTTACAGTTGAGGCGGTTTTCTTTGGTGTACCGCGGGCTGTATATAGCACTAAATTATGAAAATAGAACTTCCTTTCCATGGTTGTGTTGATATCGATTTTTTCATCGATTAAGCTGTATATATATTGCCGTTAAAATATCAACAAATTTTTTTCACTTCTGGATAAACACCATCGCCACGTTGTCATATTTTCACATTTTCCACACACCAGTGTCCCTGGGTTGTTAGTCTTTACAATAAGACATACCCCCTGCAGTTAAATACGTGACGTATGCGTGTAATATAGATATATATGGGCCACTCAGGGGGTGGGGGTAATTTCCCCGGGCCTCATGCTAAAAGTGACCCTAATAAATAACAGTCTTGTGAATAAACTACGTCAAATCGTCTCTCAGGAAGTCAAAGTTATATGTTGCCCGGCCCCCGAAGCCTCTGGAAGCCCTGAAGCTTACTATCCACTATCCTTGCATGTCATTTAGTTATCTTTCGTTGTTCGGACAAAATTTTAGCCTAAAATACACACAAAAATCATTATAAATTGAAATAAACAACGAGAAAGGAGCTGTCAAAGCGGAAAGCCGGCAAACTATATCGCGTCCTGAATTTGGCCTTTCAGTAAGTAGGGAAGCTTTCAACCTATACCTTGTTTTCCAGCGTTTATGTCCGTTTCCTAGGAAACCGTACCCTGAATAAGGGTTATAGCAGTTCTCTTCAAAATTCCGTATGCACTTGAAATTTATTTTCATGCCAATTTCGTTTTGAAATCTACAGTTAGACATCGTATACATATATATAGAGCGTTTGCATGTAACGTCATAAAATTTCTGAAAGCTTAAGCGTTTAACATATATAGTTGCCCATTTTATATATTTTGTATATCATTACTACAAGTATTCCTGGCAAATTTCAAATCGATTCAGTAAATCCTTCGCGAGTTAAAGTGGCTTGAATAATTTAAATTGCTGCATGACGTCAGCATTATTTTGAAAGGCCGTTATAAGCTACGCGGTTTTCCAAACCTAAGACCAAATATTTCGGTGGGCTTTCAAGAGTTTTATATAATTACTATCAAACATAATTGGGACCTGTGTGATAAAATATAACTTTTCTTGAGCATTTACTACACGGCCGCCATGTTGGTGGTCCAATATTACGCAATCTCAGACCACCAACATGGCGGCCGTGTAGTAAATGCCCAAGGAAAGATATATTTTATCACACAGGTCCTCAATTATGTTTGATGTTAAGTATATAAAGCTTTTCAAAGCCCATCGAAATATTACGACTTAGGTTTGGAAAACCGCTTGTAAGGTATCAACTAAGATTGGTTTTGAAACAAATTTGGAGTAGGGTTAGGCTAGGGTTAGGGTAAGGATTAGGATTGGTGTTTGTAATAATTCATAAGTTTTTCAGCCTGTTAGTAAACCCGTTGCTTTGTTACGTTTTGTCACTCTGAGGCCAGCGAAATAATCTCTTCCAGCTTATAACGGCCTTTCAAAATAATGCTAACGTCAGCAATATAAATTATTCAAGCCCCTTTGACTTGCGAATGAATTACTGCATCGACTTTAAATTTGCCAGGAATACTTGTAGTAAGGATATACAAAATATATAAAATGGGCAACTATATATGTTAAACGCTTAAGCTTTTAGAATTTTTATGACGTCACATGCAAACACTCAAAGCAAACCTTCGCGCGAAGTGTTTTTGAATGACTAAATAGGGTAAAAATATTATGTAAAATGGTCTGTTCATTAGTATTCTTTATACAGGGTGTATAAAAAAAAACTGAACAGATTTGAAATTGCTCTCAATTTCGCAAAACAACTATTTGTATCCGGTTTTTTATATATATAGCTTCTTTGGGTACTTATAATGTAGAATAATGAAAAAAATTTCTCAAACTCAAATTTTGTGAACCAGGGGTGTGTGTCTTTTCCAACAAACTAAAAATGGCTCGCGCACAAAATTTAAAAGTTGTAATCATATTTTGAGTTAATAGATGGAAAATTTGTTGGGTTTGTAATTACTGTACAAAATTTCAGACAATTTGGTTCAGCCTTTCGCATGCTTAATTAATGCCTTTACCTAATTTGCATATTGCTGACATATGCAAATTAGGCAAATGCATTAATTAAGGTGGCTCGCTACAGTTTATAGAAATGTTGAAAATGCGTAAACTAGATCACCTTTTTGAAGAGATGATGCTCTTTACAAATCGAAATTTGTATATTATGTATACAGCGACAATCAAACAGTCGAAAATTGGTCAGAAAAGTGACGTCACCACTGTTGCTATGGCAACAATGACGATTCAAGATGGCCGATATTTTGGCTTTGAACGCATTTTACTTTAAAAAAAGGTCGGTTATCCCCATTTTTTATTTCAGAAAACATTTTCTTATAGTGCAATGCACTATCTGACCAATTTTAAAAAAATTCTGTAATGCAAAAAAACATTTATTTCGAAAAACCATGTTTATAAATTTTTTAAAAATTTGGCATTACAGAATTTTTTTTAAATTGGTCAGATAGTGTATTGTACTATAAGAAAATGTTTTCTGAAATAAAAAATGGGGGTAACCGACCTTTTTTTAAAGTAAAATGCGTTCAAAACCAAAATATCGGCCATCTTGAATCGTCATTGTTGCCATAGCAACAGTGGTGACGTCACTTTTCTGACCAGTTTTCGACTGTTTGATTGTCGCTGTATATATAATATACAAATTTCAATTTGTAAAGAGCATCATCTCTTCAAAAAGGTGATCTAGTTTACGCATTTTCAACATTTCTATAAACTGTAGCGAGCCACCTTAAGCACGCAAATAGCTGATTTTTAGGTGAAAAATGTAACTTTGCGTGAATAGTTAAAGGGGTTAAACTAAACCAAATTGTACAGCAATTATAAACCCGACAAATGTTCCATCTATTAACTCAAAATATGATTACAACTTTTAAATTTTGTGCGCGAGCCATTTTTAATTTGTTGGAAGAGACACACACCCCTGGTTCACAAAATTTGAGTTCGAGAAATATTTTTCATTATTCTACATTATAAGTACCCAAAGAAGCTATATATATAAAAAACGGATACAAATAGGTGTTTTACGAAATTGAGAGCAATTTCAAATCTATTCAGTTTTTTTTATACACCCTGTATAACATTTTCATTGTGTTAAGGGAAATAGCAATAAAAATTCAATTTCTCCCATTTGGAAAAGGGATTCATTACACTGTAGGTCAAAACCTTTTTACAGATTTTCTATATCGCTCTTGGTATATATTTTATACCCTTTCATTCGTTATGTATTCCGCCATCTTGGATCTGCATATCCATCGTCGGATATGCGTGACGTCACAACAGGGTAACATTATTTTGTATCTTTAGCAATTCTCAGTCCATTTTAATGCTAAATCCTATTTTTACTATGGCATGTTTTAAAATTAAAGCACAAGCTGTGTATAAATTTTCCACCGATTATATATGTTTTATTTTTTAAATGTCTACCCTGATTGTGACGTCATTTAATTAGATCTAATTATAAAACAAGAGGACGGACGGCACGATATTTTGGTTTCAAATATCTGAAAAATAAAAAAAATTTGGGAGAATTTGTAAAAAGGATTTGCAATAATGTTAACGTTCTTTCAAATTAGGCAAACATAATTTTTTTCCCATTTTCCTTTAATAAATAGAACGCGGTATTTCTCTTCGGATGGCTTTTAGCGCGTGCCTTATTGAATGTTTTAAGCAACCATTTCAAAACTATATACCCCACTCCTCAATGAGAAAATAGTTCTTAATATAAGTCCATTGTTAGGGTTTTAACCATTAAAATTTGGTATAAAATTACTATACACGTGTGTCAAATTTAACGAACGTTCGCCCACTCGTGGGGGGCTCGTACTGTTAACGCACGCCTTACAAAAAATTGTCAGTTCTGTGTAACGTACAAAGCTTTCAATTTTTCATCGCCACGACCGCTGTAAGTACGGGTCTGCTGTACTGGGACAAAATTTTCTCAATATGACCAGCGTGTGGAATTGTATAGCATTTTGAATTATAATTATTGTTGCTTATATACAAACGCTGAACACGCAGCTGCATTCCAGCATTTATTGTCGTTTTACGAAAGCATAATTATTAAGAATCACACGTCAGATAACTTGCATACTTCCTTATTTGTAGAACTATCCGGAAACAATTCCACCAGGCACTCCACAGAAATCACCAAATGTATTCAAAAGTAAGTTCTGAGTATTACAGTATGTAAATTTTCAAACAGACAAACAGCACCAGTAGTAATTTTTGGCGTCAATCCCAATTTTTGACGCGCCGCGTGTGGGGTATGAAATAGATTTCCGATCCGGAATGTTGAACTTAAGTTTCGTATATTAAACTAATCCCAACCAAGCCACTAGTCAATCCAGACATATATAGGTTAATATCCTTTGCGCAATATACATTTATCATATGCAATAATAACCATATAAAATAATATTTAATATACCATATATAACTTGCATTCAACGTGGTTGCATGCTTTATATGTGACCTAAACAGCTATTGCGTTGTTGTAAATTTAAATGAACCGGTGGTAACTTTATACCTCTAATTAATGCTCTATTTTTAAGAATGATAGTTTGTTGTAGTTAGTTGGTGAGAAGAAAGATTTGACATAAAGTCGAAATATCACTATTTTAATCCATATCTTAGATTTCATATATTTAAAATTTGTTTTGTTTCATATTTTTTCTCAAATGTCGGCTCGAAATAAATGTTAGACGAACCTCCGAAATAAATTCAACGCATACACATAAAATTATTTGGGGATAAAGGGTCCAAGGGTTATGAAAACCATATAATTGTACCTATACCGCCTCATTTGAAAAAAAAATTATGCCTATATTGCAGGGTGTATAAAAAATGTACACCTTTTCAAATTCAAATTAACCGTAATCTATTGTAGTAATTTGACAGCTATATAATTTCTCGAATTAATGAATGCGTGAAAATACAAGGTCTTCTGCACATGGGAATTTAGGATAACTTCTATTTGTATAAACAAATACATAACTCAAAGAAAAATGTTTAAATTAAGCATCATTCAAGTCTGCATAAGATATAAAATTGGCCAGCATACTGCAGAACAACGAATATTTAAAAGGATATGGTTGCATTTGAAAGGGTGCATGCATGTACATTTTTTGATACACCCTGTATATTACTAATGGACACACCTATTAGAGAATTGTTTACCCTTGTAGAAATTCAAGAACTGTTTCCTTCTTGTAAGGAACTGCTGAAGAAAAACAGGTATGAAATTGCCTCATAATCTCAGCACCCTATAGGGACTGTTTTATACGTCGAAATTCGGTCGCATCGAATGCAATTTAAACTATAGATAATGAACCTTAATGAGGTTTATCATCTCATTATCTATTGTTTGAATTGCATTCCATGCGACCCAAATTCGACGTATAAAACAGGCCTCACATAACTGCTTTCAGGCTAGGGAAAAAGTCTGTTTAGATATAGCTTTGAGGTATTAAAAAGTTAACACGCTTTCGTTGGTAGGGATGCAACTATATCTGAAAAATATAATTAAGGAGAACCGGCACAGACAGTTCAAAATTTAAAAAGTTAGTTTAATTTTAGTTCATGTTAAGACGTTATTTTGTCCACATTTCTATAACTTCTCACAATTCAGCTCACTCTCCAATGGAACTTACAAACTACGAAATAATGAATCACTGGAGGACTATTCAGTTTACTGTCACATGACCGAAATACCTGGATGCGGGACAGGAGGCTGGACACTAGTAATGAAAGTAGATGGCAACAAAGTAAGGATCATCCAAGTTGCAAATTAATTTTAAGAACAATAGATAGTGATAAATTAATAATTAAATACAGAATAAGTAAGCATTTTCATTTACAGAATGAATTCAACTACAGCTCTCCTTACTGGACAAGCAAGGTATCCTACGCAGTTGAAGATGGACTTGAAGGTTTGAATGAAAAACAAACAAAACTTGCTTCTTACTGGAACACACCATTTAACAAAATATGCCTTGGAATGAAAGTCAATGGTACTACCAAATGGATTGTGATGAACTACCAAGCAAGTTCGCTGTTCAAGATGATCGCAAGCGGACATTTCACAGCAACAACCGTTGGAAAGAACGGATGGAAGTCTTTGATCAAAGATTCATATTTGCAAGACTACTGTGATCAAGAAGGATTCAATATAGTCACCAAAAATAAGTTCTGGGACTATAAATTTGCTTATAACAATGTACGGATTGGATTAGTGGCGAATAATCAAAAAGACTGCGAGAGTTGTGACTCGTGTATTGGCTTTGGTACTTCGGTACTTGGATGTGATGGTGATGTTAGAAACATATCTTGCGGTATTATACTGACTTATTACTGTACTGAGCCAGAAAATAATAAGTACACTGCAGCGTTTGGATACATACTTGTGCTGTAGCGTCGCAATAACACTCGGCCGGGACTAACTCAGATATATACTTCTGCACGTCCATGTATATCAAAGTTTAAAGATTGAGATTTGTTTGTTTGTTTGTTTGTTTGTTTGTTTGTTTGTTTGTTTGTTTGTTTGTTTGTTTGTTTTGATTGTATTTATTGTATACTAGAGTAAAACAATCCCAGACAAAGATGGAATCATTAGACCATTATGTAATGCTGAACCATATGTAATGGTGAACCATAATTGGGAATAGCAACTCAGTAATTTTTCATAGAAACTGCTAGAATTGAAGAAAAGTTAGTTAGTAAATTATCCAATAGGACTGACGTGATCGTTTCCTGGGAAACCATAACATGAAGAAACCGTTTGGAATGAATATGGCTTTGCGCATCGGGACAAGGCTGTTTTAATAAAACTAAATAATTTCAAATTAGAGCATATTATGTAAAAATTAAAAGAACATAAATGATTGTTTTACATAGGAACGGTGGGTGAGGTAACACGCCCAAATCCTAATTAAGCAGTTCAATTTCACTACGCTAATGAAGCAGTTCGATACATAGTCCAGTCAAATCACTATAAGTACATGTTCCTGATCAAAGTAATCGCAATAGATTTTTTTCAGTGGTAAAGTGTGAGAAAAGGTGTTCTGATTAACATATTAAAAATCCAAAAAAATCCCTTCGGCGGATCGGAACATGGTAAAAATCGAGTTTTTCTTACTTCTGCCAACAGAATACCATTGCAAAATGTTGAAATTTCACAAAATGTTGAAATTTTGAAATTATTTTTCGCAAATATAACCTGCATCATTGGAAAGCTTAGAAATAACTAAATATAGATCAATTAAACGGTTACCTTGCTTTTGCCTATCCAGCCGAAGCTATACGAGATTTAAAACGCCATAAATTTGTATTTTGTGCAAATTTTGCGCTATTTTTCCAACTTTGAGTTAGAATAACGACAAACTAGCTAGTAATTGAATAAAACGGTTTAATTGACCTTTATATAGTTTTGTTTAAGCTTTCCAATAATGTAGGTTACATTTGCCTAAAAATGATTTCAAAATTTGAACATTCTGTCCACAATGGTTTTCTATAGGTAGACGTAAGAGAAACTCGATTTTCGCCATGTTCCACCGACGGAACTTTTTGGGATTTTTAGTATGTTAATCAGGACACCTTCCCGCACATTTTACCACTGAAAAAAATTCTATTGCAATTTGACTGGTCACATTTGACTGGACTAACAAATACGCTTCGTTAAGCAGATCTAGTAAAGTAGTGGAGAATGGCTCGTGGAAGGAAGTGGCTGAATTGAATATATAATCCTCAGGAAGCACTGAAGCGTAAACCTTGTCATTTTAATTGAGTTACAGCCAAAAGTGACGGGAATTTATAATCGCTTCTGAGCGTTATACCTGAATTCACTTCCCTTCTGTGCGTGTGCATGCACGATCATCACATGTCCACGTAATGTCAACATGTCAGTCAAATGGTTCGCTAAGGTCAATATAAACTATACATATTTAAAATCAAGATTTTGGCAATTCAATTAACGACACTATGACGTATTCAAGTCCTCCCAGATGCACAAATTGCATAAAAACAGTTAAATTGCTGCTCTAATAACAGGCACTTAATGCATTAAATAAGACATGATATCTGCGCGTTTATATAATCATATTATGACATATACAGCTGTTGATAAACTACAGCAGATTATAACTGCACGTTTAAAGGCTGCCCACATATCTCATACAATATCTAGTAAAGTAAACAGTGAGAGCGGCTCGTGGGAGGAAGTGGCTGAATTGAATATACTGTATATAATCCTCACGAAAACTGAAGCGTAAGGGAGCAGTCATTATTAATGCTGGGGGGGGGGCGGAAGATATTGGGGGAAGGCACCAAAAATTTATTAACCATTTACGGGGGGGGGGGCTACCAAAAATATCAAAGAAAGGTGGGGGGGGACCAAAAATAATGTACAATAATCATAAAACATCAGCAATTATAGTTCACTGTATTATAAATGTCAATGCTATACAAGTATAGGTAATCACGCGGAAGGAGTGCAATTAATGATTAACACTACGAGTGATATTTGAAAATTGTGCCAAAATTGCACAAGCCGTTAATAATTAATTGTACGACTTGCCCGTGTGATTATTTATTTATTTTATGCATGGCATGATGACAAAATAGTTTTCTTTAAAATTCAACTTCATTTTGTCAAGAGTTTTTAAACTCAAATAACATATGTTCAGAGTATTAAGAAAATCTTTGTATAAATTGTATAACAGACTTACATAGTCACATTTCGCTGCATCTCGCCGAGATTATTTCCTAAAACTGTTTCCAGGTATTTTCCATAGGTTCTTTTTGCCATACTATGTTTTGTAAACTCATTCTTGTGCCAAAATTTAATTCAATTCGTCCATGTGGTTTTTATACAAGATAAATATAAATTTCCCCGCCATATTGAACTTGTTGTTTTGATTTCCCGCTCCCCCTAGCCGCCCAGATCGAAAATCATTAATTGCACCACAGGTGGGCCAATCACGCAAGGGTCAAGTACCATCGAGACTGATCGAGTGCAAAGTCTCGGAAAATATTAGTCCAACAAAAGAATAGAAGGAGAACACACACTATCGAATAGACAAGTCGATTTCATTTTAAAATGTATATTTTGTTACATATTTTTATTATAATATACATTGCTATAATATACAAGTCTATACTGTCACTTGCGAGATTGGGTCGCCTGTGATGTATAGTATATGTTTGGAATGCAAGTTCAATCACAGGGGAAAGAGGGGGGGCTATGAAATTTTATTATGTTTAAAGAGGGGGGCCATGAAAAATTTACCATAAGTTTAGAAATTTCTTAATAATGACTGCTCCCTAAACCTTGTCATTTTAATTGAGTTACAACCAAAAGTGACGGGTATTTACAATCGCTTCTGAGCGTTGAATTCACTTCCCTTTTGTGCGTGTGCATGCACGATCATCAAATGTCCACGTAATGTCAACATGTCAGTCAAATGGTTCGCTAAGGTCAATATAAACTATACATATTTAAAATCATGACGTTCGTAATTCAATTAACGACATGCACTATGACGTATTCCAGTCCTCTCAGATGCACAAATTGCATAAAAAGAGTTTAAATTGCTGCTTTAATAACAGGCACTTAATGCATTATAAATAAGACATGATATCTGCATTTAGATCATTTACAGCCGTTGATAAACTACAACTGATTATAACTGCACGTTTAAAGGCTGCCCACTTCTCTTATACAATGACTAGCCATTCAAGCCTTTGTGCGTTAATTTTGGTCTGGATAATAACACAGCAAGGCGAATGCTCATCCAGGGAAGCACTCTTTCGCAGAAATGTACAAAAATATTTGGCAAATCATGTCATGGAAACAAAACAGGCAGGGAGCGAGTTAGAATGCGGTATGCTTTGCGTTGCAGATGGGTCTTGTGCGTCAGTCAATTATAAAACGTCTGGAATCGGTAAAGGTCTGTGTGAGCTCAACAGCAAGACACTAACTCAAGGGACGTCTAAAGCTGATGAGGAAACGAACCATGAATTCAATCACCTTTATGTGATTAAAAAGGTTAGAAAATTCAACTCTTTTAGCTATATAAAATAATACTCGTGATTTCTGACAAGTCCCTTAACAAATAAATGTTGTGGAAAACGTATTAATGAACAGATTTACATTAAAATTTTTTTTAAAAAAACCTAAAAATAAATAAAATGTGCCTTGCTGACAAGTCCCTCAACAAATAAATGTTGCATGTGCAAAACGTATTAATGAACACATTTGCATTAAAAAATTAAAAAAAAAAAAAAAAAAAATAAAATGTGCCTTGATGGTGAGCTTTGTTTGTCGTGTTACCAACCCTCCATGCAATTAAGATTTGGTGTGTGTTTTACTTATTTTCGGGATGTTCTTTCACCTAACGTGCTTGAAGGCCAGTCGGCATGCGCGCGCATTTCATCATGCAAAACTGAAGACTTATAGTTCAAGTTTTCAGTTTGATTCAAACAATATATATACATATATATATATATATATATATATATATATATATATATATATATATATATATATATATATATATATATATATATATATATTTATTTAATCTTAAAAATGGTATATGTTGCTACTCAGAGTTTCATGCAATTTCGCAATCTTCAGGCAACTGCTATTACAAGTAAGTTCAGTTTTGTTTGTTGACGCTACTCACTAACGGTTTGCTGACGCATGCGTTCGTTGGTCACGCACGCTCTCAAATTTTCCCGCGTGGAATTTCTCTGCGTGGCGGCACTTCGCGAATATTTCCAATCTTCTATTAAGGGTTCTATTTGCCTTTAAAAGGCACAGTTTTTCTTCGGTGCACAAACTGCAGTGTTTTCCACCTGCTGAATACGATGAAGCTCGTTTTACGATTGACCACTTGATTTCGTAATCTTTCCCAGCATTCTTTAATTTCCACACATATTTAGAAAGTTCCGTGTCATATTCATATCTTTTGTGCTTAAACGATTTTATATGGTTTCGATATCTAACTTTGAACTCATTTGCCGTCATACCGATGTATTCCTTCGCGTCACAATCTTCCTTTGTTCTTATCACTGCCTTGTAGACTATACCTTTCGTTAAACACTTTTTCTGGAGTGGGCATTCACTAGGGATTCGGCAATCACACAATTTGCTTGGGTTTTCCATTGGCTCAGCTTTCGCCAAGATGTGCTTGTTGTGTCTGGAAATGGAACTTTTAACATTTTCCATGCAGCTGTAACTGACCTTAATGGAGTTACGGTTGAAAATCTTGTGAAAGGGATTTGCCCTCGGAAAGTGCTTGTCAATTAGTCGTAGAAAGTCCCGGGCAATGTTTGAACGTACATTTTTGCTAAAAGGAGGGTTAAACCTGATTACCCTCCATCAACTACAACCCAAAAGTGGAAACGTCAAAGAAACATCATCTGGTTTAACCCTCCTTTTAGCAAAAATGTACGTTCAAACATTGCCCGGGACTTTCTACGACTAATTGACAAGCACTTTCCGAGGGCAAATCCCTTTCACAAGATTTTCAACCGTAACTCCATTAAGGTCAGTTACAGCTGCATGGAAAATGTTAAAAGTTCCATTTCCAGACACAACAAGCGCATCTTGGCGAAAGCTGAGCCAATGGAAAACCCAAGCAAATTGTGTGATTGCCGAATCCCTAGTGAATGCCCACTCCAGAAAAAGTGTTTAACGAAAGGTATAGTCTACAAGGCAGTGATAAGAACAAAGGAAGACTGTGACGCGAAGGAATACATCGGTATGACGGCGAATGAGTTCAAAGTTAGATATCAAAACCATATAAAATCGTTTAAGCACAAAAGATATGAATATGACACGGAACTTTCTAAATATGTGTGGAAATTAAAGAATGCTGGGAAAGATTACGAAATCAAGTGGTCAATCGTAAAACGAGCTTCATCGTATTCAGCAGGTGGAAAACACTGCAGTTTGTGCACCGAAGAAAAACTGTGCCTTTTAAAGGCAAATAGAACCCTTAATAGAAGATCGGAAATATTCGCGAAGTGCCGCCATGCAGAGAAATTCCACGCGGGAAAATTTGAGAGCGTGCGCGACCAACGAACGCATGCGTCAGCAAACCGTTAGTGAGTAGCGTCAACAAACAAAACTGAACTTACTTGTAATAATAGTTGCCTGAAGATTGCGAAATTGCATGAAACTCTGAGTAGCAACATGTACCATTTTTAAGATTAAATAAATATTGCTCTACAAATTTTTGTATTGAGCACTCTTTAATCTACTGCAATAACAAAACTTTGTATATATATATATATATATATATATATATATATATATATATATATATATATATATATATATATATATATATATATATATATATATATATATATATAAGATATATATATTATATATATATATATATATATATATATATATATATATATATATATATATATATATATATATATATATATATATATATATATATACATACATATATATATACATATATACACATATATATAT